GCACATTTGCCGAAAATGTACTTAGAATATGTTCCCATTTCATGTTGATTTTTCTCTGCCCATGTTGCCTTTGCTCTCGAAGCCTTTGTACATCTCTATGCGGCGGCGAAATATGTACTTTTTTAGTACACCAAGTAATAAGAAATCGGTCAAATTGGGGACCCTGCCAGTTTTTTTTTTATCACCAAACACCTTGTGATTTTTTTCCTATCTAGTTGTCTGGAAACATGAAAGAATTTATACGGAAGAAATCTGGAAAAGTGAAGAATTTGTATGGAACATGTGAAGGATTTTTCAAGAAAAATGAAAAACTATATGGAAAAATGCTGAAATTGACTGAAAAAGTGAAAGACTTTATATGACAAAAATTTGGAAAAGTGAAGAATTTGTGTGGAAACACGAAGATTTTTTTTTAAAAAAAAAGTGAAGAATTTCCATGGAAAAATGACGAATTCGTATGGACAAGCGAAAGAATTTGTATGGTCTAACGGTATTCTAAGTATAGCTTGTTTGACGTCAACTGTATTCTAAAATATTCTAAGTATCGTTTTTCAAGTTCAATTCCTGGGATGCCCGGGGCAGCCAAAATTTCAATTCCATATTCTATGTGGGTGGAGGACCTTATATATTTACATGCTGTAATGTCTTGGGATGTTCTAAGTGTGGGGGTCTCAACAGCTGATTGATAACTGTGTGTTCAAATAAATATATTTCTGTCAATAGATCATTTTAAATAAATATATATATATATGTGTATATGTTGTAATGTCTTGGGATGTTCTAAGTGTGGGGGTCTGCACAGCTGATTGGTAACTTTGTGTTCATATAAATATAGTTTTGTCAATAGATTATTTTCAATATATATATATATGTGAAATGTCTTGGGATGTTCTAAGTGTGAGGGTCTCCAAAGCTAATTGATAACTTTTTGTTCAAAAAAAGTGATGTCAATAGATCATTATAAACAAATACATATGTTGTAATGTCTTGGAATGTTCTAAGTGTCGGGGTCTCCACAGCTGGTTGATAACTTTGTGTTCATTTAAATATAGTTATGTCAATAGATCATCATCATATATATAAATATATATATGTGTGTGTGTTGTAGTGTCCTGGGATGTTCTAAGTGTAGGAGTCTCCACAGCTGATTGATAACTTTGTGTTCTTATATATAAATGTAGATACGTCAATAGATCATTATAGAAATATAAGCTTCTCCGCTTACATGGAATATGCATGTTTCAATTGCACAGGCAAATTTGCCGAAAATGTACTTAGAATATTCCCCCCATTTCCATGTTGTTTTTTTTCTCTGCCCATATGGCCTTTGCTCTCGAAGCCTTTGTACATCTCTATGCGGCGGCGAAAAAAAGTACTTTTTAGTGTACAAAGTAATAAGAAATCGGTCAATTTGGGGACCCTGCCAGTTTTTGATGTTGGCATCAAACACCTTGTGAAAACTTTACCTATCTATCTGTCTGGAAACCTGAAATAATTTATATGAAAGAAATTTGGAAAAGTGAAGAATTTGTATGGAACATGTGAAGGATGTTTAAAGAAAAATGAAAACTATATGGAAAAATGCTGAATTTGACTGAACAAGTGAAAGAATTTATATGGAAAAATGACGAATTCGTCTGGACAAGCGAAAGAATTTATATGGTCCAACGGTATTCTAAGTATAGGTTTTTTGACGTCAACTGCATTCTTCTAAAATATTATAAGTATCGTTTTTCAAGTTCAATTCCTGGGATGCCCGGGGAAACCAAAATTTCAATTCCATATTCTATGTGGGTTGAGGACCTTATCTGTTTATATATATATATATGTGTGTGTGTGTTGTAATGTCTTGGGATGTTCTAAGTGTGGGGGTCTCCACAGCTAATTGATAACTTTTGTGTGCATATAAATATAGAATATAGTTATGTCAATAGATCATCATGAGATGTTCTAAGTGCGGGGGTCTCCACAGCTAATTGATAACTTTTGTGCACATATAAATATAGTTGTGTCAATAGATCATCATGGGATGTTCTAAATGATCGATTTTCCTAATTCTTACCGTGAGGGTTCACGGCTGTTCCAAACATAGAAATAGGCATAAAAATAAAAAAGCGTTTTCCAAATGACGTTCTAAGTGAGTGTCCGTCACTATATTTTTTTGTCAAATTAAAATGATGATATCATCAGAATTGATTCTGAGGTTGGTTACCGCAAGGGCAACCACGACTCCATTGAACAGTTGAACTCGGGTACTAATGAACATCAATTATTGGAATCATATTGAGTCAATGGCGGTTGTGGATGGAACCCAACAAATATTCCCAAAAAACATCTTGTCACTTTTTGACTTCCTTAACCTTAGGCCATATATATATATATGTACATATGTATATCTATAGGATTTAAAAATGCCTGTGAGTAAACATTGATACATGTCTGATGCACGAACAAGGACAGGTTCCAATGTCTCCAAACCCTTCTTTCCAAAAGGCTTTTTCACGTTGCCTTGCCGAGAGTGGTTCAGTGTCCATCCTCCGCCTTACGGCGTTTGGGAGGGGACATCTCATCCAATATATTGGAAAAAGCTCTACGTTCTTGATTGTCCACAAGCGCAGCATCGCCCTTGCTCAGGCCTCGCAATGGCCCTGCGGGCCTTTCCTTCCTTCGCTTGTAATGAGGCTGTTTGGCTCCAGCATCAGATCGCTTGGCTCTTCTCCTCTGTGCGATCACCTTCCCCTTTCTAATGAAAGCAGCTGTCGTCATTCTGCGCTCCTGTCCAAGGAATCAAGGAAAGTTGGAAAATTCTTTGTAGGGGACTAAAGCCCGTTGAAACAGCTTCAGTTTGTGGGCCTAGAAACAGTGGGGAACAGCGCTGGTAGGACGCACCACCAAAATATTGGCCCTCCTTCGTCAAAAAAGTGTCCAGGCTGGCTTTTATAAGAGAGGACCCGAAACAGCTTCCAGCGGCGATGGTCCGTGTGCCACGAGAAGGCTTTGTTCGATGTGCTTCGCAGGCACTGAATTGCTGTAATGTTTCCTGGTGATCGGGAACAAGGGTCTGGAAAAAAAAACTTTCGGACCCCGGAAAAGTTTTTTCAAGCTCAGCCATGGAAAAATACTTTTCGGGACCTGAAAAGTTTAATTTGGTGAGCCCGGGGAAAACACTTTTCCGGGCCTGTACAGTTTAATTTCGTACCCCTTTGGAGAAGACATATGCACCAGAAGTGCACTCGGAGAGCTTCGTCTCTGGCTGCACCAGCTTGTCACCAACGTAAACGGTGAACACAGACGGGTGCCACCCTTTGTTTGCAGCGAACTCCTGCAAGACTTCTCCGAAACTCGCATCAAGGTCTTTCATGGCCTCGAAAGGCCACCCAAGACGCGACGGGAGAAGAACTCGCAGCGGGATGGCCCTGGAACTTTGAGCGTGCGAGTCTTTGAGCCCCAGTACTGAAGTGAGGGTGTCTGGCAAAAAAACTTTTCCGGCACTGAAAAGTTTTGTCTGCTACAAACCCTGGCGCGCTGTCTTGGAGGCACCGGATGGACATGAAACAAACTTTTGGCAGCCTGAAAAGTTTATTTTGGTGGATTTGGAATCTATTTACTTCCACTGCGCAGCCGCCTCGTTCTATACAAATTTAACTCAACCGCCTGCTTGAATCATCAAAATAAACTTTCCAGCTCTCCAAAAGTTTTATTCCATGGGTCCGTGCCATCTACATGTCCGAAAACTGCCCATACTCCTTAATTCTCAATAAGCAACCTCGTTACTGACCTCGTTAATTCTCTCTGACTAACCTCGTCACCTCGGCTGGGGTCGCAGTAATTTGGGCAGGATATTGGATTTATCTGAGTAGTAATGATAGCTAAGTTGGTTTATGACTTATAACTACGTGAATTCACTTGTGTTTTTGCTTTGTGGATGTTCAACCAGTTGCAGATTTATCTGTATAGGTTGGTGTACCCGATACCCACAATGGCTATTTGAATGGGATAAATTATAATTTTCCATTAATAATTGTTTAACCAATAATGGTTAATAATGGTTAAACATTAATGGCTACTACCCTCTGGTAAACTAACATAGCTATGGAAAAATCACATTTTTTAATGACAAAATCAACTATTAATGGCCATTTTCAATAGCTACGTTAACTTACCAGAGGGTAATATGATCAATGATCATTTCCTTTGGAATTAAGGCTACCCCATCTTCCGAGAAATCCCGTGTGATTTTCCGTCTCCCCATTCGCCCCGGATTCGCTGGAAGATGAGCTGACCAGCTGAGGTGTGGGTCCGACGTGACGATGCCAGCTGAACAATCGGGGGCACCAAGTTGGGGCTAACATCATGGGATTTGAACATAGTTTAACTATGTCATAGATGAAATTCATATCCATATAGATCCTCAATTCTCTCACCATTTCATTGGGATGTATCATGATTTATCTTCCCAATGATGAATAGTTTAATGATTTACCATTTGAATAGTTTCATTTTGATTTATCTTCCCAATGATTTATCACCTCTATCATTTGTTTGCATGATTTACCATTGGGAAGATCTCCGGTCAGACCTCCGGTCCCAATGGGAGATACCCTGCAAAACGTCTAAATTTTGGGCGATCCCATGTAGTCCACAAAAGGCCGACCCAGTGCTACCGTACCGGTTTCGTCAGGTCAGCGCGAGGCCATAGAAGTTAATAGTGGTTAATAGTGGTTAATAGTGGTTAATAGAGGTTAGTGATTAATACCTGATCTAATGAATAATATATCTGGTTGGTGGTGCAATAACCATCTTGAAAAATCATGGAGTTCGTCAATGGGGTTGGGATGACATCCCATTAATATGAAATGGAACATAAATGAAAATAAGATTCATGTTCCAAACCAGTAACCAGCCAATTGTATAAATCATGATTCAACCAACCCTCGGTGACGCCCGTCGAATCTCAGGGTTTCATCTTAACATCTTTTCACCAGCAAAACTAGCTTTGAACCGCCTCACTCTGCCGGAGTCCACTTTACCTCAACTTCATTTGGGTCAGGGCACCCACGCAACACATTGCTTCACGCAGTGCCAGCACGGCTGGAGCGGCTTGGGCTTGGGGCAGGGCCCAAAGGGCCAGGGCCAGCGGGGCCGGCAGGGCCCTCAGCGACTTTCAGGTTCAAACGCAAATCTTCCATGTAGTATCGCAAGAGGGCTAGTACCTGAAGCGGGATACCAGTTTGAAGGGGGACCAGTTTGGTGAAAAAATCCCATTCCGACGTTGCTGGTGCATATGTGCATGGTGGTGTTCGATTTTTTAGTTTTGGTTCTGGGAGGGTAACTTGAGATTTGTTCTGGTGGGTCTTTATTCTTATTTCTGGTCGCGGTCTTGGATGATCCAACTGATTAGCATTAAGTCAATGGGTTTTCATCAACTAACCAGTTTCTTAGCAGGTTTGAGGTACCCCACCAACGGGAATCCGCCCTTTAACATAGAGGTTTAATTCTGGTTGAATAGTTTAACGCGCCACCACTTAATAAGGCCTTATCTGTGCAGGTGCCAAAAAAAACTGTTGCTGGGCAAATCATCATAGGTTCTCCCCCATCGGAATATATGGATTTCTTGGATGCTGATTCCGGGTATGAGGATGGGCACCCCTAGATATCTCAGTTGGTCTATAAGTATCTATAAGATTCTATAACTATGTGGTCTATATGCTAGAGATACAGCATGATATATCATGATATATCTATGGAAAATGGGGTTTATAAACGAACAAACATCGGGCAAGGCACCACTTTGTACCAACCAAACATCATTGGATCTCTACAGGAAACCATGGATTTTCCCATGAGAAATTGGTTGGGGTTTCTCAAGTAAATGTTCCCTTACAGCCAATCCTGAAGAAGCCAGAAATAAACGGAAAAATATGGGGATACATTCTCCAGCCAAACATGGCTGATCCAGGAATCTCCATTGTGGGGATTTCCCAGCGGCCCACCACGTTTGAGGACACGTTTGAGGACACGTCTCCCTACTTACCTAGCGTTGGCTTAGTACAGGATGGGGCCCCGCACTTAGCGTTCTGTTGCCTTATAAGTGACTGAGTTCTATGGTTTATGGTAGATATAACTATAATTAATGGGGTTTATAAACCAACTTAAAACTGGGGGGCACCATCCTGTAGGTTCGCTATAGGGTTTTATGGTATTCTATGATATTGGTGGAAATATCTAAAATTGGATGGCTTCAGAAAAGAACTTCTCTATCTTGAAAAGCTCACAACGTCGTGGCGAATCGTAGATACCCTGCATGTCTTGTTTTCTTCAGTTGGTTAGGGTAATGTACATCCCTACAATGTGAGGCCCCCAGTTATAAGTTGGTTTATAAGCCCCAGTAACTATAGTTATAAGTACCATAAACCATAGTTATTGGACTTATAAACCAACTTAGCTATGGAGCGGGGGCCTCACATTGTATTGATAGCAGAAGAATCAGTGGCACTCAACCCTTCACCCATGGTTACTCAGTTTGGACATAACATAGCCTTCACCCACTATTACCCATGAGAAGTACCATGGGTATAGTGGGATTTTAACCACTAAACTTGTTGTATAACCTACATATACATATAATATATATATAACAATGGTTATCCCCAGCGCACGGGAGCAGGTGAGCGAACTGAAATGAGTCCGACCAAACCTGGTGGGGGATAAGCCAAATTGCAGATTTTTTCCGGCGATAAAAAACCATGGATATTTCATGGGGTTCATGGAATTATGTGGGATATAAAATGGAATGTATTAAATGGGACATATGATATATATATATATATATATAATATATATATACGGTAGCCAACATTGTGGGACTCCTAATGTAATATATAATCATATAAACATATTGGGGTGTAAAGCACCAAGAGTTGGGATAACACACCACTTTTAACTGCAGGTCCACATAAAGTGCAAATGATCGGGAACATGTAAGTGTGGCAAATATGGAAAATACAACCTTGAAATACGGACAACTTATTATATAAAGATGACACATAATTAATGGAGAAACCAACATTGGAATGAATCCTCATGTCGAAGTGGAAAAACTGAAAAATGATGGAACATGATGGAACATCATCTACCCTCTGGTAAACCAACATAACTATGGAAAATCACAACTTTACTGCTAAATCAACTATTTCTTTGGGCCATTTTCAATAGCAAACTGTTAGTTTACCGGAGGGTATTAGAAATAATTTAGACCTTTCTGAATGCCAGGGAAATGGTGCAAGATGGTGCGCTGTGGATGATTCAAGCGCCAGGCTGAATTCATGGTTCCTGGCTGATGGCTACATCACGTTTCTTTAAGGCTGAGAAAATATCCCCATTGAAAGTACTAAACTTTAGCTGATTTCATCTGGTTGTTGGTTGAGCCCTACCCCTCTGAAAAAATATGAGTTCGTCAGTTGGGGTTACTATTCCCAATATATGGAAAAATAAAAATGTTCCAAACCACCAACCAGTATTGGTTGTTTATCATTGATGGGTAGTTTATCCCATTTATCTGATTTTAGCTGGTAAAAAAGAAGTTGTACTGTACTAAACTACCTTTAACTACCCATCCAGTCGGACCGGCTGATCTCAAAAATCATGGAGGAAATTCTGCCCACTGCTCCCTTTCGTTGGAGCGACGCTGCTCCCTCGACCCCCCGGTTTGGTCATCCAGTGCTTTGTTTTTTCCCCACCAGTGGATTCAATCATGCAGGTGTCCTCAGTTCAATGCTAGCCCATATCAGTCGTCATGGATGACCACGGTTTAGTATTGAAACAAACGTTTTATGACGACTGGGGATCCCCCCATGACTTACTGTAATTAAGAAAGCCCCAAAGTATTGCCCACGGAACGGGCGACCTGCCAAAGACATACGAGACAAGAGTTGTGTCAATTGGCGGTCACGAATACCACATGCCTGGCGTTGGTCGAAACTCACTGCCGAGTTCGTGCGATTTACACTAGGTCCCCTCCAGTAATCTAATGTAGCTGGAAGTGGAGGTTTTATATCTATAAATAGGCGATTTGTCCGTTGCCATATCATGTTTACCGGAGGGTATTTCCGTCGTTTTTTGGGGCCGAATTCTGTAGGGTACAATGTGAGGCCCCCAAGATAGCTAAGTTGGTTTATAACTCCAATAACTATGGTTTATGGTACTTATAACTATAGTTACTGGGGCTTATAAACCAACTTATAACTGGGGGGCCTCACATTGTAGATCTGGTAGATATATAAAAAATGATGTTTGGTTTTGTTTCCCCAAGAACTTAAGGATTGACTTGGGGGATCCTTCCGTGGTATGCTTGGATTTAGTTTGGGGGTTTTTGGTGAACCCAAACTGCTTGGTGGTGCAATAACCATCTTGAAAAATATGAAAGTCAATGGGAAGGATTACATTCCATATATGAAATGGAAAATAAAAAAAATGTTTGAAACCACCAGCCAGCAAACATTGATGAGGTGAACATGTGTTTCGTTGGCTGCATTTCCTAGCCGTCTATGTTAGAGTCACAAACTACTTAGGAAGAATTCAATCTAGCTCATAGGAGACCTGAAAAAGATGTATTTCTAGAAGAGTTTTTCCATGATGGGACCACCATGATACTTCTCAACCATAGGGACCACCCCCTCGAGCTGTGCCTGGTTGAGATTCACCCAGTCATTTTGTTTATCCACGCAGACATCCGACAGTTATTAGAGCTACAAACGAAGAGAAATCCATCAAACAGGGATATCAACATGAATGAAATCATCCGAAATCATGAGCAATGTCAATCAGTGATAAAGCCTTGGTTAGCTCAATCATCCTTGGTTAGCTCTGATGTGGCCCTTCAAATCGTTGAAATGTCGCAGGGGTGGGAGCTGGGACAGCTAGGTCCAGAACAAATGGTTGGCTGGTTCCCAGATCCACAGCTGAGTTGGTTTAATTTTCTAGCGCTTCTGTTGTTGAAGTATCACTTAAATCCGCAAAAAACTCCAAGTTTGTTCAACTTCTATCCCAAATTACCCCCTGGTAAACGAACATGGCTACCAGTACGGGAAAATTCCATGTTTAATAGCTAACTCATCGAACTAAATGGTTCATCTATACCATAGCAAACTGTTAAATTACCAGAGGCTATATTTCTCATGTGCACATGTACTCCTCAGGGGTGATGATTAATTCTTAGTTGGGGATTTTTAATAGGTTTATCAACTATAAATCAACTATAAATCAACTATATATAATCAGTTTTTTTTGATTCCCTTACATAGGCCTTATATAGGCCTTATATATGGTAGGTACCTTCAATAATTTGGTTCCTGAAATGGTTAGTTTACCAGAGGCTATCCAACAAAAAGTACCACAAAATCCACTCCACAATCCACGGAACGCCCTTGGAACGACCTTGGCAGGGCGTAGTAGGACTTCGCGTTCCAAGAGCTGCATGAGCCTTTCGATTCGAATTCGGTTCCGACGTGGGGCTGGTGATCTTCAGTGCATTTTTCGTAGTGCTTTAAGTAATTAATGTAATATTGATGTTGATGTTATGTGATATGTGATAAGTATTTAATATTATATATATATGTGATAATATATATATATGTGTGTGTGTTGTTTTAGAAATTGTATATGTTCTAGTGCTTGAAAACCCATGCTCGTTGTCCGTTGCGTTGGAAAATTCCGGGTAGCCTTGCACACGATGGCGTCAAATCAGTTCGTCCTTCCCAAAAAGGAACCAGAAAGCGGCATAATTGTATGGCTTGAATACATTTTTCATCCGAATGTTTTCCGGAATGTCTTCGAACGAAAGACTGTAGCTGTCTTCTTCGATTCGCCTGACCAAATCCAAGATGATATTCTTGGAACTTGCAGAACCTTCCAGTTGATCTTGTCTAATCTTCTTGTTTTTCCTCAAAAACCAGAAAAGGTCAGTCCGACCAGCATACTCCAGAAAATCGTTGTATGTTGACTCATCCGGCTCAGTGACTTTCAGATGCATTTCTTTGCTTCGTTCCATCAGCGAAGAAACTGAAGTAGGTTGTGAAGGGATGATTGAAGTGATGCCCAATAGCTCTAATTTTTCTATCTCAGACAAGTGCCACCGTTCCATCCTGGCTTCCAAATCTTGGACGAAACTCTTGCCCTCTCTGAGCTGGCACCTCCTGATCGCTTCTTCTCTGACTTATTCTCCATATGTAATGTTCCATTCTGATAAGCTGATCTTGTTCAATCCTCCAGAAGTCTTCTCAAAGAACTTGTCTGAAACAAATAACAACCAAGTATCGGTGGGATATATACATATATTCTGCATACACACCCAATCTCTTGGCAAAGCACTGGAACTGTGCTGTTCAGGTTCCAAAAATGAACAGTATGGGTTGATTGAAAAATAAATTACTTTACTTCGTGTGATGCCCACCATGACATTTATACATTTTGTTACTGGCATATCTTCTGGCATTCTATCTGGCATTCTATCTGGCATAGATTCTGGCATTCTACCTGGCATATCTTCTGGCAGATGTTCTGGCATTCTATCAGACATATCTTCTGGCATTCTATCTGGCATATCTTCTGGCATTCTACCTGGCATATGTTCTGGCATATCTTCTGGCATATCTTCTGGCATTCTATCTGGCATATCTTCTGGCATATTATCTGGCAAATCTTCTGGCATTCTATCTGGCAAACATTCTGGCACTTTATCTGGGATATCTTCTGGCATTCTATCTGACATTTTATCTGGCATTCAATCTGGCATACCTTCTGGCATTCTATCTGGCATACCTTCTGGCATTCTATCTGGCATATCTCATGGCATTTTATCTGGCATATCTTCTGGCATTCTATCTGACATTCCATCTGGCATATCTTCTGGCATTCTATCTGACATTCCATCTGGCATATCTTCTGGCATTCTATCTGGCCGTTGAGGTCCAGCGGTGCACACTGAGCTGGGCAGGTCCCAGGTTGAGGTCCAGCGGTGCACACTGAGCTGGGCAGGTCCCCGGTTGAGGTCCAGCGGTGCACACTGAGCTGGGAAGTTGGCAAAGAGCTTGGCGCAGAGAGTCGGCGAAGAGAGTTGGCAAAGAGCTGGGCGAAGAGTTGGCAAGGCGGAAGTGCAGGTGGAAGTTGATGCAGACATGGTCGAGGAGAAACTGGAGGAGGAGGCGAGGAGGAGGAGGAGGAGGACGAGGAGGAGGACGAGGACGCGGAGGAAGAGCGCTCTGATAAAATCTAACAACACTCACCGGCAGGTGGGGAATTTGAAATCATTCCGTCCCTCGGTTTCAAATTTACCAATACGGCTTGGGAGTGTGTTAAGATGTTTATCCATCGAAATAGAAATTCGAGTCTAATTCTTCGGGAAAGTAAAAATTGCTTAGGCTTAGACTCTTTTGGGAGGAAAGAACAAGTGTGTAATCTTTAAATTAGTGATACCTTTCAAAAACCTTTCGGCATCTTTCGGGCCTACTATAGTAAGGAAGCACCCGTGGGGACGTCGCAGCCCTGATCTCGGGGTATTTTGGGCCTGAACATGTTCTTAGTTTCTGTGTGAATTTGTTTGAAAAGGATCTGACATAGCTTTGACCACCTCCCCGCAGCTACCTGCCTACTGCCTACGTTTTTTCCCATCCTTTTCCCAGTTTCTTTCCTTGCCGTTGGAGCCCCAGAGGCTGCCCGCACTTTTGTTGTGCGCATTGAAACTAACTAGTTGACTGGTTGGTGGTTGAGCCTACCCCTCTGAAAAATATGAGATCGTCGGTTGGGATGATGACATTCCCAATATATGGAAAAATAAAAAATGTTCCAAACCACCAACCAATTGAGATATAAGTCAATTTATCTATAAGGAGAAATCGACTCTTAATCCCAATGTTCGCAATTTATTGCTACTTAAATTAGATGCAATCTCCACAAGTGCCACTTAGCTATCGTGAAAGGGGGCTTCACCTTGTACCCACCAAGGACCAACAGGAGCCTGAAGCTTCCAGGTGGCAGGCTCTGCGAGCGATGACGGATGTAAGGAATGACCTGAGTGGCTTCAGGGTGTCGTGGATTTTTCTGCGACTTTGTGGGCTCATGAAAGAAATTGGGAAGCCAACAATGGGAATTCAAGCCACCAACAAGGCTTCAACTAGCAACCATCTGCGTTTCACCCACGTTTGAGTTTCGTTTTTTTTGGCAAGAACCAAGGATTCGAACACTAGTCTATAGCCAGTCATGCCCCAATTCCCCGGTTCAAAATGGGATGATGCTCACTATGACCTGCAAACCCGTTGGTTCCTGAGATGGTTTACCATGGTGAACACTTATGGCCCAACTAACAGCTATTTTTATGGGTTTTTAATGAACAATGATATCTAACCAACATTAACCAACTATAGTTATAGGAGCTATAATTCCATTTATAACTGTTAAAGGCCATGACTGTACCTGTTGGTTTACAACATGTTTTTTCCAGCACCGAAGAATGGAATCTAGCAGGGTAGCCATGCCCATACCATTGGAATCGCTGCTTCTGTTTACGAATAGGGAGCGGTCCAGCCTGAAAAAAATCATGAATTTTTGGGTTTCTCAAACCCAGACGAACTAACATTGCATACCCTCTGGTAATTTAACATAGCTATGGAAAATGGACCATTTACAGATGATTTTCCCAATAAAACCTCCATTTATAATGGATTTTCCATAGCTATGTTAAATTACCAGAGGGTAATTTGCTTGCATAAGAGGTTCTTTAGTAGAAACTACAGATGTTTAAGTACCTCTGTAGCCACAAGCCATAAACAGAGCGATCACTGGAGCCTTTTGTGTTGAACTCCGTTCACTTTGCGAAGCAAAATGGGGGATACCAACTTTAAGTGTAAGTTATCCTGATTGCTAGTTCTCCTGGCCACAATATGACTTTGTCTTTGGGATCATCCCAGTTCCATGGCTGAAAACTATATTTGAAACCACTAACCAGTATCAATCACTTTGAGAGGCAAGCTCCGGATTTTTCACCCAACAGCATCTATTCTGGGGTTTGTATTAATCACCTATAGCCATACCACAGGTCACCAGTCACATCTGGGCAAATTGGGTACAGTGCCTGTTCCAAAACGATGATTCCCATTTCTTTCCAACACACTTATGGGAAAATCTACAGGGGCATACAGGGATGCATGTTTATTTTCTCATCCATCCCGGAACATCTTCCGATAAAAAAATCCGACCTGAAGCTTAGTTTGGATGACTTCCCACATATCATGGCCAATCTGCCAGATACCCTACAAAAAATGACAAATTCTTAGCTGGTTAATTAGTAGAGAATCCCATTGATACCAAAAGAGAATGTTGGGTTAGTTTCTAACCATCTAAGATTGACCCGGATATAAACATATGGAGGTTTCCTCAAATGGGGGTACCCCTAAGTCATCCATTTGATAGAATGTTCCATGAAATAAACCAACCATTTCGGGGTACCTCCATTTATGGAAACACCCATATCATCTAAACCATATCATTTACGCAATAAAAATAAATATGATGGAAAATGGACAATGATATGGTTTATATATAAATAAACCATATATATAAACCATATCATAATCATGGAAACTCCATTTTCCATTTGAGGCCGGAAAATATGGGGTTGCAATATACGCAAATAGCCCTCCTGTGAAGCCCTGTCTCTGGGGGCTGCATCCTGCGCATCGGAAGTGGATAGGAAGCTTACCCAACACGCCAACCATACAGAAATCTACATGAAGTGGGGATATTCCATATGTATTCCTAAGCCAAAAGATATATATTAATCCATATGATCATTGCACACTGGTTGGTTGTTTCAGCTCCCATATATATATATATATGAGTCATTTCAACCAATCATCCCAAAATTCTGTCCTTTTGCAGCGCATATCATCCGGCGAGTTGCAGTGGCCAAAAGTTGCGCGTAGCTCAGTGAATTTAAGAAGACTCGCTGCCTGCGACCCGTGGCGACCCGTGGCGACCCGTGGAACATGGCCAAAATTCGGCTCTGAAAAAAAGGGATGGGATGGAATACACTGAATACACCATCCAAACTCTGGTGCCAGAGTTAAAACCATAACCATTCACATGGTTCCTATCATGTAGTGAATATAATCATCGACCATTTGAAATACCCTCTGGTAAACTAACATAACTATGGAAAATCACCATTTTTAATATGTAAATCCACTATTTCTATGGCCATGTTCAATAGCAAACTGTTAAATTACCAGAGGGTAGGGGTTCCAACTATGAGTCCATCGCCACAGTGTTGAATACCATGATGTTTCACCAACAGGATGGGGTCCCCCAGTTATGGTCCTTGGTTTGTAAAGCCCATAAAACCGTCCACTAGTTCGTGGTATACCATAAATATCCATAAACCAGAGTTAATTCAGCCATGTATAAACCAACTGAACGCTATCGACTGGGAGCCCTTATTCTGAAGAAACATGGCGTGTTTTTTTTATAGGTTTTTTCAGCACCCTGTGGTCATCCCACCAGGCATGCCATGGGCAAATTTCATCCTAGCCAAGCACCCAAGCACGGCTTCTCTCTACAATTGCCGTAAAAATCACTTGCTGCACGAAACATTCACGTATTCACGTTGCCATGCAAGCATGCTTGCATCATAAACACGCAAAAAAATGCAATGCATAATGATCATGATGCGATATGATGCATACCTTGCATTGTATTAGATTAATCTGGATTCCCTTACCTCACACAGTACTATACAACACACACACATGACATAACATAATAGAACTGACTGATAACATGATATAGATATTATGCATACCATAACACGACAGAAAATGACATACTGTGACACACAAATTCCATAACATAACATACACGGAATAGCATAGCCTGACAGAAAAGATGCTGATATAACCAAGATGACGCACCATTACGTCGCATAGCATGACACCACAAGATAGTATAATACAACATTACATGCATACATGTTATGAATGCTATTGTTGCACTATATATTCATGTGTATATACTACACGTAGATACATACACATACATATATACTATTCATATGTAAATTTACACACACAGGCGTACTCATGTACAGAATATCTTTGCACCAATAAACCTTAAAAGAAAAATGTCACCACTGTCACCACTCCCCAGAGAACACTAATACATTTGAGTAACATCTCCATCCCATCCTTTCAATACACGTCCCAGATGTCCCAGGTGCTTCTTATCAGGATGTACGGGTCGATTGTGCTGACAATGGCAATATCCACAGTCCGCCCCTGCATCACATTGACCTGATGTCACCCTTTGTGACCCGGTGGACAGGTCCGGTTTTTTCTGAAACCACTTGAGGAAGCAGCTAACTTGCCTGTTGGCTTTTAAAAGTACTGTTGCGTTTTTTGGGAAGCAACATTACTGTATACATTACTGTTATTTATTGCATTTGAGGTATTTAAGGTATTGAAACTCAAGATTTAAGATCTTTGCAAATTTTGCAACATGGATTTATAGTGGGAACCAGAACAGAGTTCACAAAAAATTGGCGTTTTTTAAACCAAGAAACAGATGCGGATGCAGCCCTGACAACTGCCCTGAAATGGAGTACAGAAACACAACATGTCCAGGATGTTCAGGATGCGATAGATATGTCCAACTGGTTCTGTTCTTGGGGTGGCTACTGGTTGCTATGTGTTTTGGTGGCAGACAGCAAACTCGGTATAGCTTGGTGGGATCAGTAGTCATGATGACGAGGGAAACAAAAAAAAACACGGATATGAAAGTGATTCAGAGCTGCATGGTCAAAGTTCTTGGTGCAGTCAACCCAGGAATTACGCAAATCAAAAAATCAAAAATGTTGGTGGAAAAAAGTGAAGCAGGTGGATGCCAATGATATCGTGGGCTTTGTAGGTCCTCAAAGTGACCAAATTTTAATCGGGGAGATGAGACAAACTGAGAATTCTATGATTTCCATGAAAAATTGAGGTGTCGAGCTAGGAAAATCAGCGAAAAATAGGAGATGTTCCAGCCATGTTTGACTACAGGAGGGTAAATCCATTAATATTCTATTCAATATTACCCGATTAAACCATATCAGACCGTGTTAGACACACGGTTTAATCATAATGATGATTGATTATGGATGATATTATCATATAAAAAAATATAAAACACACCAGACATCCATGGATTCTCCTTTAAATATGGTATGCTTTCCACTACCAGAGGGTCAGCCGCCCATCCTTCGGATGGGCCTTTGGCCAGGTGCACGCAAGGACGGTGACAAAGTTCCGGGTGGCCTGGCTACAACGGCTACAACGGGATGGGCGTTCAGTTGAGATATGGCTGTGGCGAAATTCTATGGTTGATGGTAGATATACCCTTTGGCTATTTAACACAGCCATGGAAAATTGTCCATTTATAGAGGATTTATGATGATTTACCTATCCAAAATGGTGATTTTCCATAGCTACGTTAAATAACCAAACGGTAACTATAGATAACTACAGTTTTCATGGGGTTTATAAATCAACGACCATAACTGGGGGGCACCATCCTGTATGGATACGGGGTAATAATGGTTAATTATGGCGAATAATGGGTAATTCATCACTACCCTTTTAAGATAGGGGGACCGACCCTAAATGTAAGCTACAATTTAGACGCTTTTAAAGGAGGGGGGTAAAAATTGTTAACTTTCATTTATTTTTCAAAGTACGTTCTAATTATGGTAATTCTACAAAGTTATACCGTAATACCCTCTGGTAAACTAACATAACTATGGAAAATCACAATTGTTAATGGGAAAATCCACTATTTCTATGACCATGTTCAATAGCTTTTTGTATGTTTACCAGAGGGTAATTGTATTGAACAATGGGTGTACCAACAAGAATGTGTGGTCAAAAATTGAAGAGGGGGCCACAGATGGCTTAGTTTATTTTTCGTATTACCCTCTGGTTATGACTAACACTTCGCCATGGAAACCATGGCCCATAGAAATTGATGGTTTAGCTATAAAATGGTGATTTTCCATGGCGAACTGTTAGTCATAACCAGATCGTAACATGTATGAAAACCATCCATTTATTGAGGTGCCCAATGACTTGACCCGGTTATCCATTTGAGATGGATACACCCGCAGATGATTGGGATGTGATTGGGATATTCAGTGGGGATACAATGGAGCTTTAACGAACAAATGGACTTTCTGGGGAAAATACTGGTTGGTGGTTTCAACCCCTCTGAAACATGACATATACCGGAATTGGAGTTCCACACTGTTCATGATGAAGCATCGATTTATTCATCATCTCATCTATGACCCTCCAGGAAATTAACATAGTTATGGCTGGTTGGTGGTTTGGAACATTTTTATTTTTCCATTCAGTTGGGAATTTCATCATCCCAACTGACGAACTCACATTTTTCAGAGGGGTAGGGCGAAAAACCACCAACCAGATGGAGAATCCACCATGAAAGTAGTTTTTTTCCCAGGAAAAGCCCCGGATGTTCGTATCTCTTTGGATCCATAACGATCTCAGAGCTCGCAGATGGAAACTGGATGAAAATTGGATTGTCCGTTTTCTATCGTTTTCTATCCCCAGCTAGCCCAACTATTCAGGTTCATGAACTATTTTCTGGTTGGTGGTTTCAAACATGAATTTTATTTTCCATGATACATGGGATGTCATCCTTCCCATTGACGACCATTCCCCTATTCCCATCCATTCCCTACTGAGCACCAGCATGTCATATTATGAAAAGTCAATTGTCAGGATATACTACATGGCTATAATGGATGCATTCAATTCCCGATCTAGTGATATAATGAGATATCTCATTGCTTTCTGTTGGTTTACCTCACCCAAAAAAGTATCCGAAACAATCGCTGAAGTAGATCTGATCTCGAATAGTAAATCTCGATGAGGTACTATCACTCGGATCGGTTTACATGAATCTACATCGGATTAGTACCGGATTTATGGCTGAGATTTATTGCGCAAAAATTCAATGGCTGAAACACTAAAACCCAGATATTTCCTATGAGTAATACATTCACCGTCGTATTATCGAACAATTCCATTCACGAAATCGTCCTCAGTTGAATCCTAAAATAATTGTGCTAAGTCAAGTTAAATCCTCAGTTCTAAATCCATTCCCATATGCAACCCATGGTGCTGGTATATGCACACCTACATGGGTGATGCAAATGTTGGGCAAATGTTGGTAGAATTTCCATGGAGCATATGGGATTCTGTCCAAGGTCCCCCGATTTCCATCGTTGCAGCAGGTTTTGTTTCCGGAAAACAACTGAAGGCAACCAAAATGGTGATGCAACCAAGAAAAATCTTGGGTTTTTCATCATTGAAGCACCGAAAACGGAGTATGAACCCCTACAAATTTGGGTAGAATGTGTTAAATGTGTTGGTGTTCTGGATGAACCAACCGTGAAAAACATGAAAGTTACGAGAGAAAACCGTCCATAATTTCTTGGGATGGCATTTTCGACACCGTGAATGAAACCAGCAAAATCAACCTCAGAGCTGATTCAAAACCATGGCTGGGAAAAAATCTTGGCTCGTAGTTTCAGAACTGTCAATCCATTTGAACAACCATTCGACGTGACAGTCACGGAGAGTACGCCTTTCCCAATTTCAAAAAACTGAGACATCAAAATGTCTGGCAGTTTTTGTTTGGGTTACCCTCTGGTAAACGTTTACATAACTATGGAAAATCACCAATTTTGGTGGGTCGGTAAATCAACTATTTCCATGGCCATTTTCAATAGGTACCATTCCGATGGTCCAGCTGGTCGCATTTCCTTTGTGGACAGCTGACGCATGGAGGGAATTCTAGATAGGCTCAGTTTTCCCATGATAGTTTCAGACATACCGTTGACATATCACCGTCTGGATCATTGGTTGTTTTCCAATGATACAACGGTTGGCTGATAACGTTATCCCGCTAACTATGGATTATCATAATCCCCAAGACATTAGGTATGGTATGGTATGGTAGAACTACCCATTGCTAACAATCAATTAGATAAGTATATCTGTATATGCATATATAAACAGCTGAGCCAAAGATGCATGTGTCAAAATCATCTGACCCTTTTCAGGCCTTTCATCTTTAAATACGGGGGGGGTCGTAATCCCATATATATATATATACACAATGTGAGGCCCCGAAGATAGATAAGTTGATTTATAACTCCAATAACTATGGTTTATGGTACACAAATAACGAACTAGTTACTGGGGCTTTTGTTAAACCAACTTAGCTATCCAACGGGAGCCTCACATTGTATATATATATATATATATATATACTTAATTAAAGTATCCAGTAAATTAGCTAGTGCAACCCCCATCATTTCGACCAAGCCATGCCGAGCAAGCCATAGCTCCCATAGCTCAACCTCGGCTCGTCGGCTCGTTTCGTGGGAAAATGATGAGTTCCCCAAGGCTCCCCAATTCATACACTTATATATAAAAACCTATAAATAATATATAAATGTATGATAAATATAACCCTATAATGGATATTTCTATAGTTAGCTCCCTTATAATGATGTATATATATATAACCTTAGATAAATCCATGATATAATTCCATTATAGGATGATACAGGCTTATAATGATATATAACCTTAGCTATAGGAGTTATAATTCCATTTATCCCATAACTGTGGGTAGTGGATTTGTCAAAACTGGGGTGAGGATGGGTGAAGGTAAATCAATGTAAATCGCCAATCTTTAAACACGCCCATATGCTGTAGATCTAAACTTGTGGTTTCATCTATCCATGTGGTCTGGAAGATCTCTTCGTAGCCCCCTTGGCTGCCCATTTAAGACAGAATATTACATATGGTGTGTATATATATATATATACATATATATGTGAACTTTCATGCATGTATCCATGCCTACCTTGATGTGACTTGCCTTGCATGCCGGTCCCATGACTGCCCAAGCACCAGCGGAGGGTTGTGGTTGCGGCATTTTGGTGTTGGACACCATCGGTGCGAAAGCCATAGTGTTTCGGGGAAACATTTGCGGTGCAGCTGCGGTTTGGGAGTGTGGCAGGGCCCCTCAACAGTATCTGGTTGAATATTACATAGAAGGTTGGACCATCTATCATTTTTGACTACTTGCAAGCTCCGTTTGCTCCTTTGAGCACAGTTTTGCTGAAAGAGTGAGATCCAGGACCTACAAGTGGTAGCATGCAGACTGCAATCGAAACACCAGTGCCTGGGGACGAACCGAGTCCCGTTGTCCAGCAGCTCCCATGGAATAGCATACCAAAGTTCACACCAGGGGTTACAAATGTCCAGGAGTATGTTCAGAAACTGAAGTTTCTAGCTGCAATGTGGCCAACCGACCACCTGAGCCAGCTCGCACCACGAGCAGCCTTGCTTGTGGAGGGCACGGCTTTCAAGAAGGTAGCCAGATTGGACCCAGCAAAGCTTCGGGTCAATGATCAGACCGGCATAGCCCTTTTGGTTGATGCAATTGGAGGTTCATGGGGTGCTACGGAACTGGAAGAAAGATATGAGTTTTTCGAAAAAGCACAGTATGGCACAGTCCAAAGGAGTGATGAGTCCCATGATTCTTTCCTGTCCAGAATGGAAGCTAGCTTTGTAGAGCTGTTGAATCGTGGAACAAAGCTTGAGGAAGTGCAGGCCTATGTACTTCTCAGGCAATCGCTTCTGTCAGCCGAAGACAAGAAGCGAATCCTGCTTGAGCACTCTGGGGAATTGAAATACAATCCAGTGGTCAAGTCCTATCGACTGCTTGGAAGCAAGTTTTTCTCAGAGGTTCAAGGGAATCGCCAAGGTGCCAAGACCAAGGTCTACGATGTCAATGTGTCCGAAACGATTGACTATGACTCCAGGTCGCATGATGATGTGTCAGCAGAGCGTGCCTTTGTGACATTGACTGAGGAGCCCGACCTTGACCTCGATGCCGAGTTCATGGACATCATGATTGCTGCTGAGGACCAGGATGCCTTGACAGTGAGCTCTTTTGAACAGGAGCTTGAAGAGTTCTTACAGGATGTTCCGGATATGCATGATGCTATGGTCTCTTATCTGGAGGCCCGTTCCAAACTGTTGGAAAGGCGCCGCAGCCGCGGCTTTTGGCCCGTGAAGTTTGGTGACAAGGGTGGCAAAGCAGATGGCAAGTTCAAGGGTCGTGGAAAGGGGAAGCGTCAAAGGGAGCAGCTTCTCTCTAGGATCGCCCGATCCACGTGTCGCATTTGCCATCAGAAGGGCCACTGGAAAGCTGAGTGCCCTAACCGGGACAAAGCACCTGACATGAATTCCGCAGCAGCCGCCAACGTAGCCGAAGAGATGCCCGTTGCCGATGTTCATGAAGTCCTTTCTGAACCCGAGTCCTTGCCCTCCGGAGCCGAAGATGTCCAGGGTTTCATGTCTCAAAGTAATGTTTTGTACTCCATGTCCATGCACCATAAGAAAGATGAAACCATACATGATGCCTATGTTGTACAAGCATTGCATGATCCCGTGGTAAAGAACAAACTCAGGGATAGGATCCGAAAAGTGTTTGCTGGCGTCCACAGCCAGCCAGAGCATCCGACACTGCCCAGGTATGCTTTCCCAGTGAACGGCAGCCGAACCAACCGGCAAAGCCCTGCATTGAGTGTTCCAAGAGCCTGGAAGCAGCCTGAACCGTTGCCGGATGTTTGCAATTTGGCCGCGTCATGCAACAAGTCAATTGGGGAAAGAAGCACAAAGGAGAAACATATGCCCAGGTCTACCATCGCGATCCCGGATACTTCCAGTGGGCCAATGCCCGCTACGGAAGCCTGACACCGGAGATTCAGGATTTCGTCAAATACTGCCGAGTGCAGCAAGATCTGGAGCAACATGCCTAGAATCCCAGAAGTTTGTACGTGTTAGAGATCAAGAGTTCCATGATGAGGTTCATCAAGTTCGTCAACAATTGTTCAACAGTGAGGGTCCTGATTTGTTCAATGTGAGTATTCAAAAATCTTTGAATGATGCTAAAGGGATTCTTCATGAAGCTTTTGTGTCCCCAACCTGGAGCCTGCCCCGAAAGCCATGCATTTTGCTGGAAGTGTATACCGATTCAAACAGCCCACTGACTGATGCCATGAACCATTTGGGTTACTTTGCCATCAGGTTTACTCGAAAAGATGGAGACTTGTCCACCACCGAAGGACGCAAAGCCCTGTGGAAACTCGTTGACGAATACCAACCCTTAAATATCTGGGTAGCCCCAGAATGTGGTCCTTGGGGAGGTTGGAATCGTCTCAACATGTTCAAGAGTGTTGCCTTGTTTGACAAAGTGATGGCCTGGCAAAAACGTGAAGCATGTCACGTGGAGCTGTGTTCCCAACTCTGTACCTTTCAGGTTAAGAGGAGCCGTCATTTTCACTTGGAACAGCCGAATGGTTCCACCATGCCTCAATTGCCTGCGTTCCAAGCCATTCGAGAAACCACCGAAAGAGCCAGTTTTGACATGTGCATGTTTGGTTTAAAGCATCCAATCAGTCGCAGATTTCTTCGAAAGTCCAGTCAAGTGTTTACCACAGATCCCTCAATGGTTTTGAAGTTGCAGGCCTCGAGGTGTGATCACCGACACATGCATCAGCCGATCGAAGGAAGTGTCAATGTGAATGGACACCGCTTGCCGTTGACCAGGTTCTGTGCAACATATGGTTCTGGATTTGTCCATAAGATAGCCCGATGGATGATTCAAAACATGCAACATGAACTTATGGTGGGTGAACATGACGATGAACCTCCCGCAAAGAGAAGCCGATTTACCAACAATCCTCTGAAACGTTTCAAGTCATCACATGTGATTGACCTTGATGCAAATGCTTCCAATCCCAGTGTACCAACGACAGCCTCAAATGTGCCCTCTCTCATAGGTAATGGGCTTCCACCTCAGGAGTCCCAACTTGATGACAATCAACGACAGTCTCATAACCATGATTTGCCAGCCGTAGCAAGCGATGCCCAAGAAAATGCCCAGCTGAGGAATCCCAAAAAAACATCCTCAGTTCCACTTGCGAATGAAGCCTGGAGAGCCATCTTTCAAAGCATGGAAGGTATCGCTCCACGTGTGGGCAATCTCTTGGTTGATGCGAGTCATGCGGTGTTTGCTCAGGTACAAGCTCTGGTGCCACTTATGAATCTTCAGGTGATTTTTGTGTGTAGAGGAACTGAACGAATGCAACTGCCAGTGAACCTTCCAGACCGACAAGTGAACACCATACGTCACACGGTAAGCCTTCACCGTAGTACAGGTGAAATTCATGACTTTGGAAGTGAAGAATGGGTGACCCTTAAGCGCAGTTGTAGAATAAGGAATGCTGTTCCCTCCAAGCTCATGATCACATGTTTTGGCTCAACAAGAGTTTTCTCTGAAGAAAAGATTTCCAGTGAGCACCCAATGCTTGAGCCAGACAACAAAGCTGCTCCACCAGTGAGTGACGGGGCGCCCTGTCCTGACAATCCTGCGGATGCTGTGAGAAGTGTCTCCAAGCTTGGCCAAAACGAGATTTGTGAGGGATGGGCCCCTCCTCCAATAGCCATCCATGGACCCAAATTTAGAAACCTAAGTGAAATTGAAAAAGCGGATCTGAGAAAACTGCACTTGAATCTTGGTCATCCAGATCCCAATGTGTTGGCTGAACACTTGAAGACACATCAGGCCGCTCCACATGTGGTCGAAGCAGCACGTGAGTACGTTTGTGATGCTTGTGTTGAATCAGTAGGTCGGAAACACCAGCGACCTGCCAAACTTTATGAGCCTCGAGACTTCAATGATCTAGTAGGAATAGATGGATTTTATTGGTCCGGTTCCAAAGGTTTTCGTGTCCATGTTTTTCACTGCATTGATGAGTCCTCACTGTTTCATCTCGGCAGGCGCTGTGAGACCCGAAACACTGATCAGGTAATTGATACTTGGTCCAACTTTTGGACATCGTGGGCTGGTGATCCTGACCAAGTCTACACCGATCCTGCCGGAGAATTTATCTCTGACAAGTGGAAAGAACTGATGACTTCAAAGTCCATTCAACTGTTGATTGCAACTGAAGCTTGGCAGCGAGGACGTGTTCAGAGACATGGCCAGATCATCAAGCGTATGCTCACCCGTTGTGACCTTGAAAATCCAATAGAAAATTTGCAAGACTTTGACCGAACACTGTTGGCGTGCTTTCAAGCTAAGAATTCACTCATGCGACAAAAGGGATTCTCCCCGGAACAGATTGTCCTTGGAAAATCTCAGAAGATTCCTGCTAGCCTATCATCTGATGAGAACGCAATAGCGCATGACCTTGCTTTAGGAGATGATCCTGAGAGTGAATCCTTTCGAAAAATTTTGGAAGTTCGCACACGAGCCAAAAAGGCCTTTCTGATCACCGACAATGATCAAGCCATCCGACGCGCCTTGCTTCGCAGATCCTGTCCCGTCCGAGGTCCTTTTGAACCTGGACAATTAGTGATGTACTGGTTAAGCGACCCAAAGCCAGCCGGAAAGAAGCAGGCCGATGGCATGGACCGGCCAAAGTCATTGTACAGGAAAGCCAAACAGCCGTTTGGTTATCCCATGCTGAACGACTTTTCAAGTGTGCACCAGAAAGCATTCGCCCCGCATCCCTGAGGGAATGGAATACCCACAGTGAGAAAGCCCAATCATGGATTCCTGAACTTAATCCAAAAACCCCTAATCTTGCTTTACCCAATAGCCCTGACAATGCCACAGACTATGAACCTAGCATTGCGCCTGAACCCGTCATTGCCATTCCCAATCAATCCAGTACACCACATTCCTCTATCCAACCTGAAAGTGAAATGTTTCCTGAACTTACCCAAGACCTATCACCGGAAAACTCTGAGATCCCTGATGTTCCACCAAATCCACCTGAAATGATTGACCTGGATGCTGAGAACAATGCTAGTGATGCCACGCTTTCCGCAATGGACACATTGCCCATCCTCCATTGCCATGCCCTGACGTCTGAAGTCAGTTGTGAACCGCTCTATGAAGTGACCATGCTGGAACCTGGAGAGGCGACTGACTCACCGAGTGATCAGATTCTACTTGCTGAGGATGACATGCCAAGGATTCAACAACCTCTTGAATGTGAAGAACAACAGTGTTTTGTTTTGTCTGTTGACATCAGTGATCATGATGTTCATAAATGGTCATCTTCAGCAAAACCCGAAGAAATGGCGTGGGTGGCCAATGTGTGTAAGAGGGCTCGTGCTGAGGTGAGTGTCAAGAACCTTAGCCTTGAAGAAAAGATCCTGTTTGAAAAGGCAAAGGACGCAGAACTTAATTGTTGGATTCAAACTAGTGCCTTAAAGCCTATCCTACGAAGAAAGTTGAACCCTGCACAAATCCTCCGAAGTCGCTGGATTTTGACTTGGAAGGCAATCAACGAGGAAGACAGCACTAAGCCCCAGCGAAAGGCAAAAGCTCGTTTAGTGGTTCTAGGTTTTCAAGATCCAAAGCTTTGTGAAGTTGCACGTGATTCTCCAACCTTGACTCGAGAAGGACGAAATACCGTGCTGCAGACAATTGCCAGCCAAAAATGGGATCTGTCGTCATTTGACATTAAGACAGCCTTCCTGCGTGGCCAGTCTGACAAAGACAATCCATTGGCCATGGAGCCTCCACCGGAGTTGCGTCAAAAACTAGGTCTCACTACCGATCAAGTTTGTGCATTGGTTGGAAATGCCTATGGGAGGGTTGATGCACCGTTGTTGTTCTACAAGGAATTTTCAAAACAACTTGATAAGCTCCATTTCACAAAACACCCACTTGAACCATGTATCTATCTACTTGAAACTACACAAGGTAACCAACGTACCCTGCATGGCATTATCGGTACCCATGTTGATGATGGAGTATGTGGTGGTGACTCGTATTTCTATGCCCAACTTGATGCCTTGAAGAAAGCTTTGCCCTTTGGATCCTTCAAGCAGCGTAAGTTCGTTTTCACCGGGATACACCTTGAACAATTGCCGGACTTCAGTATCATGGCCTCCCAAGAAGAATACGTGAAGAATATCCCTGCCATTGATGTTGGAAAATCCCGTCGAGCAACACCGGATGCTTCCATCAATGACATTGAGCTGAACAAACTCCGTGGCCTGATCGGAAGTCTTCAATACGCAGTGTCTCATACCCGGCCAGATCTCGCTGCGAAGCTTGGCGAAGTCCAAGTTTCCGTTGCAAGGGCCACAGTCCAGACTCTTCTGTTGGTAAACAAAGTTTTGAGAGAGGCTCAGGAACATAGTCACGTAAAGATATGCTTTAGAAGCATTCCTGTGAACCAGTTGACTCACGTAAGTTTTGGAGATGCCTCGTTTGCAAGTGCGAAACAATTGTCCTCTTTTCAAGGAACCTTGATTTGCGCAACGAATCATGAACTGGATCTTAATAAGAAAGCACGCATCAGTCCCTTGACCTGGACGTCCAAAAAGATTTCACGTGTGGTTCGTTCGACATTGTCCGCTGAAGCATACTCAATGTCTGCAAGCGTAGATCGTTTAGGCTGGATGCGACTGTTATGGGGAACCATTCACATTGCTCAGTTTGACTGGCGCGATCCTCTCCGTGGATTCAGGTCACTTCCAAAGGCAACGATTGTCACAGATTGCAAAAGTTTGTTTGATTTGGTCAGCAGAACCGCCATGCCATCATGTGAAGAGTTTAGGACGACCCTTGAAGTTTTGCTCATCAAGGAACGGTGTCAAGAGCATTGTCATTTCAGGTGGATTCCGACTTCATTACAGGTGGCTGATGCTTTAACCAAACCTATGGACCCAATTTTACTGCGGCAAGTTTTGTCTTCTGGTTGCTTTCAACTTTTCGATGAAATGAATCCTTGGAGCGAAATGCTCATCGCAAGCAAGCTGTTCAATGGATCCGAGAACAACAGAATGGAGCCTTCAATCAGTCGAAAGTCACATCAAAAGAATTTTAGAGGAGTGTGAACTTTCATGCATGTATCCATGCCTACCTTGATGTGACTTGCCTTGCATGGCGGTCCCATGACTGCCCAAGCACCAGCGGAGGGTTGTGGTTGCGGCATTTTGGTGTTGGACACCATCGGTGCGAAAGCCATAGTGTTTCGGGTCAACATTTGCGGTGCAGCTGCGGTTTGGGAGTGTGGCAGGGCCCCTCAACAGTATCTGGTTGAATATTACATAGAAGGTTGGACCATCTATCATTTTGACTACTTGCAATTTGGGAAATTGCCAGCTACCAGGGTGATTTGGTTCCACGCCAATCACAATATAATATACATATATATATACACATAATATATATATATATATATACACATATATAATATGGATACAACCATAGGTCCCAGCTGCTTCCTCCCAATCCCACCATGGTTGTCCTGGGCACCAACTCACCGAGCCATGGTGAAGAACAGTGACCCCCCAAGGCCCAAGAGTTTCTTGTTGTTTCCCAGCTCCCCTGCGAAGTCGGTTTAACATTGTTTAACTATGTTTAGCTTCGACTGATTATACAGTGCCTCCTGGGCTTGCGATAGGGCTTGGCAGAGGAGTAGACGAGGAGAAGGAAGAAGAAGAAGAAGAATAAGAAGAAGAAGGGAGAGGAGTTGCACCTGCACCTTTGTTGAAATCTATATATATATATATATATATAGACCCTCACCTGGCAGGTGGGGAAAATGAACATTAAACAAATCATCAAACTACCTCCCTCATTCCCCCCTCTAAATAATCACAACAGCCAAAGAGTTGTAGTTTTACTTGGGGGACTTCTTGGGGGTGCAGTTCCAGTTAGAAGTTCAAAAATATCACCATGTTATAGAGGTTACATCAGTTACATCCCAACTTTTGGGGGTTACCATAGTTATGTCCATTAACGATCATAACTGCAGCAGGGGGTGGCTTTTCTTGGGAAGTAGTATCAAGTGCCTTCTGTCCAGTCATGACAGCTGGGATCAACCAGGACTTATCAATGATCTCATAGCATAGCCCATCTTTGATGCTCAAAATATGTCAAAATCCATAGTATGGTTTAAATCAAGATTGTTTTGGCTGAATGCAATTCGTCGTTGATCACATCAATGTTTTTGGGTTTCTTTACCATTAAAAGAACCGGTCAAGTGAGTACAATCGCCAATCTTATGTTAATAAATGGAACAAGAGCGGACCAAACTTATTCAATGTCATTGTTTTGCATATGGGAACATTGTGGAATAAAATATTTTAGGTTTTTATTCAACATTGGTTTTGCATGAATCATTCATCCCATCTGCGCAACAAAAAATGCGAGTCCAAAACCACCCAAAAACTATTTAAAAAGTAGCTGTCTTACTAGCGTTGGTTCTGTTTGATCCCTTCCCCCCCATCAATTTCTGTTGGGCAACACGAGAGGAGTGAGCGTCATAGGCGAATCGTTGGAAAATTCCTGAGTTTTAGGGAAGCCATGGCGCCATGGAAAATCACCGTTTTTGAAGTTCGGCAAATCATTGAACTCAATCCGGCATGTTCATCCATTTTCATACATTTTCCATAGAAAAAGACTCATTTTCATTACCAGGTCAGATTCTGTGAAAACATGAGTGGCTGTAGCCTTGGGAGGTTGGATGCTTATTTGCGATTGCATCAGCATTGAAGGGGCCGACACAAAAGTTGAAGACATCTTGGAGCATTTCAGTGGTGACTGGTGCGTCCAAGTCAGTTGAAAACCGCTGCATTTATTTTGTGTTAATTTTCCTAAGAACCTTGATACCAATCACAGACATAACATAAGAGTCATAAAACGGTTGAAAATGCACGAACCCTAGCAATTCAATGAAAGCAAACAAATCGGAAACCCTGAAGCAGAATATGACGCAAAACCGTGGGTTTGCCTAAAAAATCCAACCACTAAATCCCATGAATCATGGTAAACACCATAATCTTCCCCTGGAAGATGGTTATTTTGGGATATGTTCCATTTTTGGGCAAATTCATATTGGAAGCGTCGCCGAAGCTTGAGAAAACGCATATGACCCACTGAAAGCCAAAAACTTCTATCCCGGTCGATGTTGTGACCTGCTCTTGGTGTTTTTTCACATTCCATTTCATTCTTGCCACATTCAACTTCGCAATTTCTATTTGGTGTTTTTTTTATTCAACGATCACTTTTCATGTTTAGTTTCTTTGGGGAAATTGTCCTTAGCGTTGGTCAAGGTTGAACAGGGTAGAGCCCAAGGATTTCGACCGCACGGCTGCCAGACGTACCTGGTCAGGAAGTTGATAACAGAAACCAAAGGCTCTAACTGGTTGGTGGTTGAGCCTACCCCTCTGAAAAATATTACTCAGTTGGGATGATTCTTCCCAATATATGGAAAAAAAAATGTTCCAAACCACCAACTAGTCTAAGATTTGAACTCATATTCTACTGGTCTTTGGGATGTTGACCAGGCACCAGAGTACACCCCATGTCCATTTCCAGCCCACTCGACCGGAGTCAACAAAACTTTCCCGTGCTGCGAGCATCAGTTCCAGACTCGGACGCGGTGGTTGGCGTCATGTCGAGTTGTAACATCTCAGCACGCGCTGGCAGCCTCAGCTGCTGAGAGTTGCTGCCCCTGTCTATGTTCGGTGGTGCCCCAGTTCGGAATCGCTAAGTTGAAGCACACAACTTGGTTAGGCAATGGTTTATGGATGTTTATGCTGGCGGGGGCAAAACCGGCCAACACGTTTCTTTGTTTTTGGTGGTGTGGGGTGGGTTTTTAACGTTCATCTTCACATGCACACTATCTTGACGTTACGTTGCTTAGATCTTTCTGGCACTTGCTAACTATCTTGATGCTACGTTAACGAGATCTTTTTGATACAGGTGGAATCGATTGCACATGGAGGATGATCAAAGATCAGATTTCACCGAGCATTTATAGAAAAAAGGAAGGCAAGATCAACAAATTTATATGCGGCAGTGGTAGTGGCGCTCAAGGCACAGCAGAGACTGCGCGCTGAGATCGACTGCCAGGCAATTGCAAAGCAAGTGAACATGTGAGGGTAAAAAGTCAAGTTGACGGAAAAATCCAAAACTGTGGTAAAACGCGATTGAAAAAAAACGTGATGATGTTGAAGACAAGTTTAAGCCTTTCAAAAGGCAATTTTCGCTGACAAACGCGAGGGATTGTGGCTTTCAAGGGTGAAAACACCGTCCTGTAACCCCCCCGCACGGATGTTTATGGTAAACATATCGAACTAGTTACTATATGGTTTATAAACCAACTTATACATACTTATAGCTAATAACTGGAGGGGCACCACCTTGTACGATAGCTAAGTTGGTCAACATAACGCCAATGTCACTTGGGTTGATGTTATGTTTAAATTATTGTTGGTTATTAAGTTAAACACCCACTGTTCAATACACTAATTATTTTCTGCTCGCCAGTTATACAATATGGTACCCCCCAGTTATAAGTTAGTTTATAACCCCCATCAACTAGTTCGATATATCTACCATAAGTCCCACTTATTGTAGTTATAAACCAACTGAACGCTATCTATGGGGCACCACTATGTAAGTGTTAAGGACCACAGCTGAGAGAGCCAAAACAAACACCGTTGAGCCAAGGCGCCGAGACACGTAGATGGACTCCCTCCTCTCCTGAGGATCGATAAGAAGTGACCAGTTGCCGGTGGGCTAAAGACCCTTGAATTTAATATGGTTTAATATGGTGAAAATATGGTTTAATATGGTGAACATATGGTTTAATATGGTGAAAATATGGTGAAAATATGGTGAACATATGGTTTAATATGGTGAAAATATGGTTTAATATGGTGAAAATATGGTGAAAATATGGTGAAACTATGGAGAAAATATGGTGAACATATGGTTTAATATGGTGAAAATATGGTTTAATATGGTGAACATATGGTTTAATATGGTGAAAATATGGTGAAAATATGGTGAACATATGGTTTAATATGGTGAAAATATGGTTTAATATGGTGAAAATATGGTGAACATATGGTTTAATATGGTGAAAATATGGTTTAATATGGTGAAAATATGGTGAGCATGGTATGGTTTAATATGGTGAAAATATGGTGAAAATATGGTGAACATATGGTTTAATATGGTGAACATATGGTTTAATATGGTAATATGGTGAACATATGGTTTAATATGGTGAAAATATGGTTTAATATGGTGAAAATATGGTTTAATATGGTGAAAATATGGTGAACATATGGTTTAATATGGTGAACATATGGTTTAATATGGTGAAAATATGGTGAACATATGGTTTAATATGGTGAAAATATGGTTTAATATGGTGAAAATATGGTTTAATATGGTGAAAATATGGTGAACATATGGTTTAATATGGTGAAAATATGGTTTAATATGGTGAAAATATGGTAATGATGGTGAATGGTTTAATATGGTTTAATATGGTGAAAATATGGTGAACATATGGTTTAATATGGTGAAAATATGGTTTAATATGGTGAAAATATGGTGAGCATATGGTTTAATATGGTGAAAATATGGTGAACATATGGTGAACATATGGTTTAATATGGTGAACATATGGTTTAATATGGTGAAAATATGGTTTAATATGGTGAAAATATGGTTTAATATGGTGAAAATATGGTTTAATATGGTGAACATATGGTTTAATATGGTGAAAATATGGTTTAATATGGTGAACATATGGTTTAATATGGTGAAAATATGGTTTAATATGGTGAAAATATGGTGAACATATGGTTTAATATGGTGAACATATGGTTTAATATGGTGAAAATATGGTGAACATATGGTTTAAAATGGTGAAAATATGGTTTAATATGGTGAAAATATGGTGAAAATATGGTTTAATATGGTGAAAATATAGTTTAATATGGTGAACATATGGTTTAATATGGTTTAATATGGTGAAAATATGGTGAAAATATGGTGAACATATGGTTTAATATGGTGAAAATATGGTTTAATATGGTGAACATATGGTTTAATATGGTGAAAATATGGTTTAATGTGGTGAAACTATGGTTTAATATGGTGAAAATATGGTGAACATATGGTTTAATATGGTGAAAATATGGTTTAATATGGTGAAAATATGGTTTAATATGGTGAAAATATGGTTTAATATGGTGAAAATATGGTGAACATATGGTTTAATATGGTTTAATATGGTGAAAATATTGTTTAATATGGTTTAATATGGTGAAAATATGGTTTTAATATGGTCAAAATTGGTTTAATACTCATTAATCTGGTTTCATTTCAACTATACTTCACTATCTTCAGTTTGAGCAATATTCTGAAGTATAATTTGCGATACGATCATCTGTATTTTGTAGTATTCCAACCACCAGGGGGTACCAGCCATAAATTGAAACATCATGGGAAATATGTAGGTAAATCGACTGGTGGAAAACACCGTCGGAATCACCAAAACTTGAATTTGATGCAGGGTTCTACTTGTCGTTTTTCGTTTGGAAACCTGCATCTTTCTAGAAAAAAATATCTATTTGTAGATATATTAAGATTTGTTTATTTAAGTTATTTATTTCTGTGGTTTTCGTTTGGAAGCCTCCATCTTTCTGGTGTTCCACCGATCCAACACATCTGTTTTTTATCTCCCGATGTCCTTCTGGGCGTCATGATGAATGCCAGGGAATCAATCCCGGTTCTGAAAATGGGGCTTCACCGGTCCAAAACGGTTGGATATGCGCCAGGCAATTCTGGACATCTTGGATATGCGCATCACCTTGGTCCCCAAAAGAAAACATACCATCTGGTTATTTGACAGTTCGCCATGGAAGCCATGGCCCATAAAAATAGATGGTTTACCTGATTTTCCGTGGCGAACTGTTAGTCATAACCAGAAAACATATTCACTGAACATCGATTCCCCAGTCAGACGGTGGATTTCCGGGAAAAGCCTTAAATCACCGACGAAAAGTCCAAGGCTAGCGCCGGTAAACCTTCCAGATGATGGGATCAATAAATCATCTTAAACCACGATAAATCAGCCTAGATCATGTTAAAAAAACCACCGCAAATAATCAGAAATCAACTGAAAAAACAAGACATAAATCACCATAGACCATCTTAAATCACCGTAAATCATCATAAATCATCATGAATAATCTTAAACCACCAGACAACCCCATAAATCATCATAAACCATGTTAAATCGTCCTAAACCGCCATGAATCGTCATAAATTATCGTAAATCCTCTTGAATCATCATCAATCATCATAAATCATCCTAAACCAGCATAAACTACCATTAAGTTACTACTAATCACAAATTAATCACCATCAAATCATCAGAAATCATTAGATCATCATAAAATCCCATTAAACCACCATTAAAACCCAAGGAATCACAATTAAATCACCATGAAATCCTATCAAACCCCATTAAATTCTCAGAACCCCCCGTCAGGATCGCCTCCAGATTACACACTTCGCCGCTGCAGGGACAACTGTGATAGCGTGCTACACAGGTGGAGACCTGCCCAAATCGCGCCATTTCGTCTTGGTTTTTGGGTGTTTTTTATTCGTATTTTGTTGGGATTTAATGATTATTTTTCATAGGATTCAATGTTCAATTTAGGGTGATTTAGTGGTGATTTATTGGCGCTTTATGATGTTTTATTGGTGTTTTTGTTGGTGGTTTATGATGTTTTATTGGTGTTTATTGGTGTTTTATTGGCGTTTTATTTGTGGTTTCATGAGTTTTACGATGTTTTGTGGGATTCTATGCGTTGTTTATGGATCTTTTACAGTACTTTGTGGCATTTGGGTAATGCAAATGATTTTGTGGTGGCATGGTGTTTCTATGGCATTAGTATGGTACGCATGAGTTTTGTGGTTATCAGGTATGCATTTGTGATAAAATATTGGGATGTAATTGGATGTAGTCGCACTGGAATATTTGTTGGCAATTGGCTTTTTCCATGTGTGGGAATAGTTAAGGCTATATTGAATCCAGAACCATAACTGTGGAAAACCGTGTTTGGTTGGATGTCTTTGTAGGATGTAGAGGGATATGTATTGATAGCAAGCATCTTGATATGACATGGGTATGTTTTACAGCAAGCGGGAGTAATACCCGGAAAGTGACGATAGTAATATAGGTGTGTGAATGTATCAATACCTCTTTTAAAAGTGGTAATCTAATATGAGAATACAACCAACCCACCAAATAATGGTTGTTTAAGGTAAGGACCCTGCGAGGGCGTCGCGGAGTGTTGTCGTTTTTTCATGTTTACGTCATTTTCGAAGCATCCATTTCATTCCACGTTCTACACTGTTTTCTTGCGCGCCGTTGCATTTTCTGCGCTTTTTGCTGTGTTTCGTGACGCGCTTGCGGTGGTAGTTGCGTGTTGGCATGCCAGGGTTTGTTCGGGGGGGTGGGATGTGGGGGGGGGGGTGGGGGGGGGGGGGGGGTTGGGGTGTTGGGGGGGGGCTAATAACGTTCTTGTTTATTAACGTTCCTGCATCTTCGTTCTTGACATGCTTTTCACTTTTGCAAGTCACGGTTTGACACGCGGTCGATGTTTCGGTTTTGATATGTTGACGTTGGTGTCCGCTGGCGTGTGGGCATGGGGTTGGGTTTGGGGGGGATTAGAACGTTCACGTTAACCAGCGTACTTGCAACTACTTCCTTACACGCATTTCTTCTTTGCAATTCACATCATCATCATCTTCAACATCATCATCGTTATCAACATAATCATCATCATCAACATCATCATCAACATGATCATCATCATTGTCGACATCATCATTTTCATCATCATCAATTGCTTCGGTGAGGTAAAAACTAGACGACGGATGGCCCGAGAGCGTAGAGGAGCAGGGTCTTCTCTTGTTAGTATGGAGATGCAATTTTAGAAACGGTATATGAAAGCTGTGTTATAGGCAGTCGAGAAGAGGAGTATCAAGACAAAATAGTGAGAAGTGCAAGACAATAGTTTGCATCGCAAACACTTTTACACACAGACGCTTTTACACAGACCTTTTACACACAAAGCTTTTACCCACAGAAGCTTTTACACACAGAAGCTTTTACAGACAGAAGCTTTTACATACAGAAGCTTTTACATACAGAAGCTTTTACACACAGACGCTTCTACACAGACACTTTTACACACAGACACGTTTACACACAGACACTTTTACACACAGACCCTTTTACACACAGGAGCTGTTTTTACACACAAACGCTTGTACACACAGAAGCTTTTACACATAGACGCTTTTACACACAGGCACTTTTACACAGAAACACTGTTACACACAAACACTTTTACACACAGGCGCTTTTACACGCAGACGCTTTTACACACAGAAGCTTCTACACACAAACACTTTTACACACAGACGGTTTTACATACAAAGACTTTTACACAAACACTTTTACACACAGACGCTTTTACACACAGACGCTTTTACACACAGACGCTTTTACACACAGAGACTTTTACACACAGAGACGCTTTTACACACAGAAGCTTTTACACACAGACGCTTTTACACACAGACGAAAGGGTTGCTCCGGCACAGGAAAAATCGCAATTTTACCTCAGTTTCTACCGATCGACCATCATTTCGTGCGAAAGGGTTGCTCCGGCACAAGTAAAATCGCAATTTTACCTCAGTTTTTGCCGATCGACCCTCATTTCGTGCGAAAGGGTTGCTCCAGGACAAGTCAAATCGCAATTTTACTTCAGTTTTTGCCGATCGACCCTCATTTCGTGCGAAAGGGTTGCTCCGGGGCAAGTCAAATCGCAATTTTACCTCAGTTTTTGCCGATCGACCTTCATTTCGTGCGAAAGGGTTGCTCCGGGGCAAGTCAAATCGCAATTTTACCTCAGTTTTTGCCGATCGACCTTCATTTCGTGCGAAAGGGTTGCTCCGGGGCAAGTCAAATCGCAATTTTACCTCAGTTTTTGCCGATCGACCCTCATTTCATGCGAAAGGGTTGCTCCGGGGCAAGTCAAATCGCAATTTTACCTCAGTTTTTGCCGATCGACCCTCATTTCGTGCGAAAGGGTTGCTCCAGCACAAGTCAAATCGCAATTTTACCTCAGTTTTTGCCGATCGACCCTCATTTCGTGCGAAAGGGTTGCTCCAGCACAAGTCAAACCGCAATTTTACCTCAGTTTTTGCCGATCGACCCTCATTTCGTGCGAAAGGGTTGACGTTTCGTGACTCGCCGCCGGCACCACCCTCGGCCTTAAGAGAGAAAGATAAAAAGAAGGCGTGAGAGAGAAGGTGAGCAGGTGTGAAGATGAGCAGATGTGAAGATGAGCAGATGTGAAGATGAGAAGATGTGAAGTTGGGAAGGTGTGAAGATGAGCAGATGCGAAGATGAGCAGATGTGAAGATGAGCAGATGTGAAGATGAGAAGATGTGAAGATGAGAAGATGTGAAGATAAGAAGATGTGAAGAGGAGCAGAAGTGAAGATGAGCAGATGTGAAGATGAGAAGATGTGAAGAGGAGCAGATGTGAAGATGAGCAGATGTGAAGATGAGCAGATGTGAAGATGAGCAGATGTGAAGATGAGCAGGTGTGAAGATAAGAAGATGTGAAGATGAGCAGATGTGAAGATGAGCAGATGAAGATGAACAGATGAAGAGATGAGAGATGTGAAGATGAGCAGATGTGAAGATGAGCAGATGTGAAGATGAGAAGATGTGAAGATGAGCAGATGTGAAGATGAGCAGATGTGAAGATGAGCAGATGTGAAGATGAGAAGGTGTGAAGATGAGCAGATGTGAAGATGAGAAGGTGTGAAGATGAGAGGATGTGAAGATGAGCAGATGTGAAGATGAGAGGATGTGAAGATGAGAGGATGTAAAGATGAAAAGATGTGAAGATGAGAGGATGTGAAGATGAGATGTGAAGATGAAAGGATGTGAAGATGAGATGTGAAGATGAGAGGATGTAAAGATGAAAAGATGTGAAGATGAGAGGATGTGAAGATGAGATGTGAAGATGAGATGTGAAGATGAGAAGATGTTTTACAGACCCCCACTATTGGAAGAACCCTGCGCTCAGACGCTCTCGGGAAAAAGTTACTTCGGAGACCCCTCTTGGAAGATGCATTTTTAAAAAATCACGAAATGCAGGTTTTAAAGGCGTCGTGCGTTAAAAAAACGCGCGACGCCTAGAAGGGGACCTTCCCTTGTTTAATGGCATTCCGGGGGGGGGTCAAAGTGATCATATTTGCAGTGGGATATTTTTGGGTTTGCCCAAGTGCAAGTGGACTTGTCCAGGAATTATGGGACAACCAGAAATACCACTAGTTTCTCAAGATGTTCAGCATGAAAATTGTTCTTTCAGTTGGTAGATTCGGATACAAACATGTGGCTTCCCAAAAAAATTGCGATTGATGTCATCTTGATTGTTATTTAACTCATTATATTGTCGTTTCAACACTATGTTGACATTACAAAATCATAATCATTTAGTTAACATATTTTGGCTAGCAAAAGTGTTTATTTGGGCTACCAGCTACATGTTCTTTTCCGACGATTTGGCCTCCAGTTTTTCAGGAAAAGTGCACCAAGTCCTATACATGGCCAATCAGCCAGATAGATGACCAATGTCTTAGCTGGTGGACGTAGATAATCCCATTGATAGAAAAAGACAAATTGTTTTGGATTAGTTTCTACCCTCCTAAGATTGACCTAGTATAGAGCTGACAAGTTTTTTGCAGAGTTGAAGCTTCTGCATCGATCTTGGCTGGATGAATATACCGCAAAAACCTTTCTCATGGGCAGGAATGACTATGAATGGACATAGATGTATAAACTGTTATTAACAACAAATGGGTCTGACTTGGGTATACCTCAGAAATGGCAACTGTAATAGGGAAAATCATGATTGACCAGTTGGTTTTGGGGTACCCTAGTTTCAGACAGAACCTCAATTTGAAATACAAGTGATATGTAAATCATATCCATTTCCCCAGTTGCTAAGCAAACCCCAGTTGAGCGAACCGGTTTGGGAATCACCGACACGGAAAAGCGAGCAGATGAACACCTCATCGATGAAAGTACCACGGCACAACAAGGCAGCGTTCATGACCTAGGTCTGTTTGGTTTCAACCCCCCTGCTTGGTTGGTGTTTCTATCTATCTTTCTTTCTATCTATCTATCTATCTATCTATTCATCTACCTATCTATCTGTCTACCTTTCTATCTAGGTCGGTTTTTCATAGTCACTGGTGAAATTCCAGCCCAATAAAGATTAAAAAGTTGGATACCACTGGAAACACTGTTCGATCTTTTTGGGGATTACTATATATATGCATGTATCAAGTAGCATTATCCCGAAGCAAAGTCCAAGGTTGGCAACCGCCATGGTAAGTTTAAGACAAATTCCATCCACCAGATCTTCAAATGGCAATTTTCAAACGGAACCGGGATGAGTCCCCAGTAAATGCCCCAGGAATCCGAGGACCCCTCAGTTGGTCGCTATTCCAAGCTGCATCGGGTCAAGTCATTTTTTGTACCCCGAATCTGATCCTTCCCAAAAAACGGAAGCAATTGATGAATCGATGTTCATCTATACATATTTATATATTGTACATATTTATATAGTCTATATGGATACATATATACTATATATATATATATATATAGACTATATAGGCTATATGGAAAATCTGCGGTTTTGGGTCTAAAAAAATCGATCACCAACTCAGGCGGTGATTCGGCATGAGGCTCTGTCTTGCACTGAGAGATGTTGGAGGTAGAAGTCGAAGTCCTTCATTGGCGCAGTCGTTGGCAAGTCTCATCAACCATCCTCTCCCGGATGATTTTGGATGGGACTTCCCAGATGGTTTGATCATGGCATGGTTTTCCATAGGAGTTCATAGGGATCTTGAATCATGGCCAATCAGCCAGATACGCAAAAAATGACAAATTCTTGGCTGGTGAATATAGATAATAATCCCATTGATACCAAAAGACCAAAGAATTACAGCACCCATCCAAGATTGACCTAGTACAAGAGTACTAATTGTTAGTATAATGATATGTATCATTATTGCACACAGTATATACTAATTGTTGGTATTGTTATAGGCTATAGGTGATTATCATTGCCAACAATGGGTTATTACTAATACAAGTAACAACAATTCTGGTTGGTGGTTGAGCCCTACCCCTCTGAAAAATGATGGAGTGAAAGTCAGTTGGGGTCATGACATTCCCAACTGAATGGAAAGTCGTAAAAGCCATGTTCCAGTCACCACCAACCAGTTGGCCGTGTAGTTCTAACGTGGGTCCTAACTCACCGACTTTTGATGAATCCTGGAGGATCAGCCATGGAGCGGAGGGTTTTTCGCCAGGAGCTCCCAATGGCTGATCCCTATGGACCCCTATGGATCCTGCATACTTGGGATAATATTGGGATAACAGAGATAGTTCAAAACCATGTTTCACCATGGTGAAAACTTGAAAACTTGAAAACTCATGGGTGAATTAGTCATTAGGGGCTCTTCTCTCAGCTGACGGGTGGGCACATCCGAAGCCATGGCCTTTTTTTGGTTCAATGATTTGGCTTTGAAATTTCCGTGGTGATGTTCCAGTTTGCGAAAGGGTTAATCTTCGATTTTTTTTGAAAAAAAGAGCTGATCAACTATGATTGTAAGTCTTATTGTAAGCAGAAACCCGCACGGTTGATCACGGTTGAAGACATCCAAATGGGATGTGTTCAGAACCTATTGGAAGATTAAAAAAAACTAGAGTTGGTTGATCCCCAGAAATGATGGTAGTAAAATTCTACTCACAAACCAATCATTAACAACAATAACTTTTAAATCAATAGTATTCCCAATTGTTTGATCCCATATGTTCCATGAAATACATGCCTACATTTGGCACAATTGTTGGGTAAATGCTGGTAAATATTCCAGCACCATGGAGCATTGAATGTTGATGAAATCATGATTGGACGTTTCCTAAAATGGGGCTAAACAACCATTCAATATTGACAATTGAAACCCATGGTGACTTGGAAATCACCAATTTTCAGAAACCCCCGAATGACTATGATCCCCCCGGAAGGCTCCTCTTTCAGACGTGGGGCCAGCCGGTGCCTGTTTAAAACTCTGCGTTGCACGGTGTTCTGCAACTGCGGCGCTCGCATAAACTTGAGCCGTTCCATCGCCGAGTCGATGCATTGCAGTTCTCACTGGGCAAAAATCGATAAAATGGGAATAGAGCAGGGGTGTAGTGGGTAAATACTAAGGAAATACCCATTGAAAATGAGGTATACCCCCGCATGTATGGCATTTTGACACTAAACCACTGGGTTTGGGGGCACCCCAGTTTAAGACAAACCTACATCAATATGGAATCCACAATGCCATAAACCATCCAGACTTGCCGGCCACAAAAACAGCCCGGAGCCCAAGTAAGGATATCTGCAAAAGTAGCAATTAACCATACCTTGTGGTTAGTAAGTGGGCTACAACCTTGGTTATAAATGAGGTAAGTAGGCTTAGTACATTCCGTTTATCAACTGGGATGAGCCACCAGTGACCCGACTCTGCATGGCCACTCACTTGGATGACCAGGCATGGGTCCAAACTTGCCCCAAACTTGGAGATGTCGTACTCAGTCAATGGTGGTTCTATTCTAACTGGTTGGTGGTTTCAACCATCTTGAAAAATATGAAAGTCAATGGGAAGGATTATCCCATATATTATGGAAAATAAAAAATGTTCCAAACCACCAACCAGCTAATCTCTGGACCTATAGCCTATAACCTTATAGTCTCCACCCCCGCATTCATAAGACTCCTTGTGGGCTGTTTACTTGAAGGAGAAACCTATATTTTAGTCACGAGAACAAATCACCTTTTTTGGCGCACGGGACCCCTGATTTTTGAATCAACAAAGGTGTTGGTTCATCCAAGGTTGTAACCAGTCTGGGTTCGCAATTCACCACGAATTTTGTTCCTAATTTCATCCTAAGATTCCCCGTTATCCCGTTCTGACATTATAAGCCTATATGAAGCCTACTGTATGAAACTTCCTCACGGAATGCCATTGGATTTTTCGAAAGATCGTTCTTCCGGCCGCAGGTGGGATGATGAAACAAGATGAAGCCCACGAACCCGAATGCTCACACGTATGTTAATGGTACAGATGTCAATACACATGGTTATGCAGTCACGCACAATACCTTTCTGCAATAGTTTATTTGAACAGTCTTGTACATGTTCCCTTGTTGCCAGTCGGCAGTGTGGAATGTAAAGTGTAGAGTGGGGAGTGTAGAGTGTGTAAAGTGTAGAATGCGGAGTGTAAAGTGTAGAGTGTGGAGTATGCAGTGTAAAGTGTAGAGTGTGGAGAGTAGAGTGTGGAGTGTGGAGTGTAGAGTGTGGAGTGAGGAGTGTAAAAAGCAAAGTGTGGAGTGTGGAGTGTAAAGTGAGGAGTGTAAAGTGTGGAGTGAGGAGTGTGGAGTGTAAAGTGAGGAGTGTAAAGTGTGGAGTGAGGAGTGTGGAGTTTGTAAATTGTAGAGTGTGGAGTGTAGAGTGTAGCGTGTGGAGTGTGGAGTGGAAAGTGTGGAGTGTAGAGTGTGGAGTGTGGAGGGTAGAGTGTAAAGTGTAGAGTGTAAAGTGTAGAGTGTGGAGTGTAGAGTGTAAAGCGACGAGTGTAAAATGTGGAGTGAGGAGTGTAAAGTGTGGAGTGTGGAGTGTAAAGTGTGGAGTGTAGTGTGGAGTGAGGAGTGCAAAGTGGAAAGCCTGGAGTGTAAAGTGTGGAGTGTAGAGTGTTTAGTGTAGAGTGTAAAGTGTAGAGTGTGGAGTGTGGAGTGTAAAGTGTGGAGTGTAAAGTGTAGAGTGTGGAGTGTAAAGTGTGGAGTGAGGAGTGTAAAGTGTGGAGTGTGGAGTGTAAAGTGTGGAGTGTGAAGTGTGAAGTGTGGAGTGGAAAGTGTGGAGTGTGGAGTGTAAAGTGTGGAGTGTGGAGTGAGGAGTGTAAAGTGTGGAGTGTGGAGTGAGGAGTGTAAAGTGTGGAGTGTGATGTGCAAAGTGTGGAGTGAGGAGTGTAAAGTGTGGAGTGTGGAGTGTGGAGTGTAAAGTGTAAAGTGTGGAGTGTAAAGTGTGGAGTGTGGAGCGTAAAGTGTAGTGTGTGGGGTCTGGAGTGGAAAGTGTGGAGTGTGGTGTGTAGAGTGTGGAGTGTGGAGTGTAAAGTGAGGAATGTGGAGTGGAAAGTGTAAAGTGTGGTGTGTAGAGTGTGGAGTGTGGAGTGTGAAATGTAAAGCGTGGAGTGTAGTGTAAAGTGTAGAGTGTGAAGTGTGGAGTGTAGAGTGTAAAGTGTAGAGTGTAAAGTGTAGAGTGTGGAGCGTAGAGTGTAAAGCGACGAGTGTAAAGTGTGGAGTGAGGAGTGTAAAGTGTGGAGTGTGGTGTGTAAAGTGTAGAGTGTGGAGTGGAAAGTGTGGAGTGTGAAGTGTGGATATAAAGTAAGGAGTGTGTAGTGTAAAGTGTGGAGTGTGGAGTGTAAAGTGTAGAGTGTGGAGTGTAAAGTGTAGAGTGAGGAGCGAGGAGTGGAAAGTGTAGAGTGTAGTGTAAAGTGTGGAGTGTGGAGTGTAAAGTCTCAGGTGAGGAGTGAGGAGTGTAAAGTGCAAAGTGTAAACTGTGGAGTGTAAAGTGTAGAGTGTGGAGTCTAAAGTGTAAATTGTGGAGTGTAAAGTGTAGAGTGTGGAGTGCGGAGCTTCCCCCATAGACACGGCGACGCAACAGGAAAACCAGAGACTCGAGACGAGCACCAAAACGAACATTTCGTGCGAGACTTTCTCCAATTTTGATATTTTCGACACGTTATCAAACAGGTTGGAATGTCACAAAGTGCCACGCCTGCCACGCAAAAGGACATGACAACCTGCTTGGACACATTCGATTAGGAGAGGTTTTCCAGCTTCCCCCATAGACACGGCGACGCCACAGGAAAACCAGCGACTCGAGACAAGACACGTGGATGCAGAAAAACCAGCATTTTGTACGAGACTTCCGGCAATTTTCACAGTTGGCAACATGACAAAAGGACAGGTTTTGCAGCTTCCCCCCATAGACACGGCGAAGCCACGGGATAACCAGAGACTCGAGACGAGACGCGTGGGAGCACCAAAACGAGCATTTCGTGCGAGACTTCCTCCACTTTTCACACTTTGTAGCTTCAAAATCGACGTTTTCCTACGAGTTTTCCTTAGAACCTGAAAATTTGCAACCTCAAAATCGATGTTTCGTGCGAGGCTTCCGTCAATTTTCAGCACATGTCACAAAACGCCACGCCTGCCACGGAATTTGCACCTTGTCACCATTTAACGCAGCCCTGCCAATGCGATTTGCAAAAAACACGCAACGCGACACGTCTAAAGTGCTGCGCCTGCCACGAAAAATGACGATGGACACGTCCAAAGTGCTGCGCCTGCCACGAAAACGGCAACACATCTTGTGAAAACGTCGCAAAAGTATTGCGCCTGCCACGCAAAACGACTTTCGACACGTTCCAGAACACGTCTGAATGTCACGAAGTGCCACGCCTGCCACGCGAAACGAAGCAACGACACGTCTGCCCTATAGGTCAGGCAAGGTTATTTGGAGCAAAATAGGTAAAAGTGATTTTGGAGGCAATTTTCTAACTAATAGTTTATTTTTAAGGAAACAAAAATAGTTAATTTTTTTAAACTACATAGTTAATTTTTAAGGGTCCATTTCAAGGTAATTTTTGGTGTTTAAAAAAATACCTTCAAAATTTACCTTGAAATTTTGCATTTTTTGCATGGAAAAAAAGATAATGAATTTCGACATTTTCTTAACATTGTACCATAGTAAAGTGAACATTATCAATTGCTTGAAAGGTATTTTAACAATATGTTTCTTGATTTTGTGTGAAGTCAGTCCTACATGATTACTGGAAGTGCAAAAAACTATATTGTTTGAACTTATACTTGTTTGAGCAAATCAAAGTTTTTATTTGTGAAGATCAAATCTGATTGGATGTTTTGAAGATATGTTATACAACATCAAAGCTACAATGAAGTAACCCCAAGCATACATTCTGTCTTTGAAAGCTCGGTGAGGACATCCATCAAAGTATAATTGAGTTTTTGGTCTTTCTTGTCAAAAAAAGATTTTGACAGCCGGTCTTTGACAATCTCTGCCCAGTCGCTCCTGGGAGCACTTGCCCTGCTCAGTTTCACAGGAGCATCACAAATCGCTTTTGGCAATGCTGAGGATGAAGTAACCACAGCTGGTGTAGAGGAAGCACTGCTACCACTACCACAACTACCACTACCACTACCACCACAACTAGCTCCAGTGCCAAGCTGGCTCCAGGGCCTGCTCGACATGAATTGACTCATCTGCGAATAACTCATCCTTGGTGATGTTGGCTTGGCCACCATGCAAGACCATGGAACTGCCCTGCTTCTTCTCAATGGCTGTGGCTATTGTCCTGTGGCTATTGAGCTGACATGATAGTAACCATCTTTCTGATAGACATCACCTCGTCTTTCTGCTCATTCAAAGCTTGCTGGTTTCACTGGATTTTTTCCACGACATGATGGAGTGAGGCAACCCAGTAACCTGAGATTTGTTGGTGCAAATCTCAAAGTTCTTCTTGAAAACCTCGCACTGGGTATTTCCAGGAGCAAAAGCAAACTCGCCACTGGTGTTCTGCTGAAAGACTTTGTTGATGAATTGACTCTTAAATAACCTTGGGGGAGGAGAATTCTTGGAGCCCTCTTCATAGAGCTGCTGAAGATCTTCTGGCACCTGACCACTTTTGATCATTCTGGCATATTTCCTTACCTTGGGGTAGCTTCGATGCTCATCATCAGCAACTGTTGCATCCTCCTCTTTAGGCTCCTCATCTTCTCCTTCTGCGTGGTCATCAGGAACTGGCTCATCCCTGGTCTTCTTCCATCCTGCTGCCATCTCCTTGGCAGTCTTCGCTTTGGCCTTGGCTTTCGCCTTCAGCTGCATCAGGTCTTTTCTGGATTTTCTTCATTGTGCTCTTGGCTTTTGCCTTTTGAGCTTTCATTGGCGAAGAAGTAACCCCAGGAGCTTTGCTGGCAGCAGCCTTGGCTTTACCTGCTGCCTTTGCCTTGACTTTAGATTTTGCTTTCACCTTGGCTTTGGCCTTTGCCTTGGGTGC